TTATATAGAACAGCATCGGCGTCCTTCCAATTATACATCACAACGGACCAAGGAGTGGATATCCTGAAACAATACGGTCTCAGATCTCCTGAAATGTTTTTGGCTCTCACATAATCCAGCAACTGCAACAACATTGAAGGCTTTCACTGGAATCGCCTTGAGTATGAGTTTCAAAATGGGTTGCTCGGATCAGGGGAAGAACTGTGAGCTTCTCTTAACCTTCTTCACACCAGCCAATTTCATGTGAACAAATAATAGGTTACTGCAGAGCACACGGTCGATTTAAGTTGTCATCGCATTGCTTGGTTAGCTAATAAGGAAAGTTGCTTCCGCCAGCAATAAACTTTGTCATGAAGGACAACCACAAAACATATTGATCCACTGTAGAATACATTCCCACTTTGATCAATTGTTTTTTCTCTGCCGAGAATGAAGGGCTTCCTCTGAGAACTCCCAGAACTGGCTCCAAAAAGTTGCATACCCGCGTTATTTACAATATATACTTGAGTTTTTTTTTACTTTTTTTTAGTCGGAAAGTTCCACTCCGAACAGAATAGGATCGGAATCCGCCACCCCTTTTATAATCGACTCAAACTGCACGCCAGCTCCTCATTTTTTCGCTGCATGATATTCCTGCCATAAGATCTTGCGTACAGTCCTTCGACAATGAAACTAATGGCTTTGTATATGATTAAACTGTTCTATTTGTGAAATTAAATTTGTTTTTGTTTTTTTTTCGATCTCAATATTGTTATGTGTGCTTTATTCAAAATTTATTTAGGGGGTGGGATTCAAAGAGTAGTTTAGTCTCCGTTTCGCACGTGCCCTTAGACGGAGACTAAACGAAAGAGTATCCTCTCCCTGTGCTCATCAGATAAACCGACAAATTCTGAACATTTTCGCTAATCTGAGCAATTTTTGAAGAGAATTCTAAAATATCTTCACGTTCGCAAGAAAAAACGATGCCTTTCCTGCAAAAACGACCTTTCAGCTTTTACGGCTTTCTCCAGCTAACCAACCAAACGTGCGCGTAGAAATACGACCCATGAGAGTATCCAGCAGTCGTTTGACTCAGCCCGATAAGCACCGATTCTACCAATGCGATGCGACAACAAGATCATTTCAAGGTAGACGATTACCCATATCTTAAGATTCAGGTGCTAATGACACACCACTTGATGAAAAAGTGTCTGTTTGCTTACGCCTTCAAGTGGTCGTAAAACATACGTCACCATCTCACAAAACTGTAGTCGATAGATTAGATAGCAGTAGCGACCTGTCCGACGAAAATGCAAGCGATAGCTCATATGAAATTTGTTCTCAGAATAGGATCTTTTTAGATTTTTACCTCGAAATTTGTTAAGAAGTCTCACCACCTTCTCAAAGTTCAGCAAGCGAGGTGACAGGAAAAGTTATCGGCTAGGATCATTGCACTTCTCTGTCAGCTTAAAGGACGATTTCTTCATGGAATGAATGCAGAGATTTCGAGCGGCGCACGGCTTCGATAGAGAAAACATGTAGACCGGAAGATTTAAAACGCCCTCTTCCGCTTAATTTTATTAGAATGTAAAGCACATGAAGAGAGCTGGGTGCTACTCCGGAATCAGGACCGCGCAGTCATAGTGTAGTGTATATTTGTTACAAAGACTACTTTGTGTGAAAACGATCTAATTGGCGATGTATTGAATTAAAAAGCTCACACTTCAATATTGGTCGCAACCATGCATGAGACCATCCACAGGTAGATACATATTAAAGCTGGTATCACATCGAACTTTGGAATGACCACGTCGTTATCTAAATCAGTTTCTCCACTTTCTCACGCTCGAATTCGTGGCAGAAAGCTTATAGATATCTTTTAGAAGGATAACCTGTAATCTATTTGGATTCACCTTCTTTTTTCGTCTCAATAATGCCAGCATACTCTTCTTTGAAAAATAGAGTAATTATTAGGCAACACGCAATAGAAAGCAGCACCATGAAAAATGCTGGCAGTGTGTACATATTGAAAATCAATCGATCCGATTCCCGAAGTCGAAATCCCTTCTCCCCCACCGGGGTGAAAACTGCCTAAGATATACAACTCTTCAAAGAATTTATCATAAATTGCTGAAGAAGGAGTGAAGAATGTTGCTAATAAGCTACGAGATCGAGAATCGGTGTCACATACAGTAGCAATCAAAAGTTTGGAAATATTTCGATTTATGATCAAGCACAGCCAAAGAACAGCGCAATTGCCTCAGTTTCACATATTATATTTGTGCAAAATCAAGTGTGGACTACGACGTGTAAAACAATCCTGAAATCGGGATCATCATTGGCAGATATAACTTCTCCCAAGAATGACTTGTCAACAGTTGGAAAGCTTTGCGTTTCCTCCGACACTATGATGATGATCTCTGTTCTTCAATGATTGGGTGTTTTTGTTATTTTCGGTTTAATGAGTAGGAGCAGTGCTCTAGGGCCGCGCTATTATCAAGATTTCCCATCGTAATCGGAGTCAGACCAGGTGCATCAAGGATGGCCCTTCACCAAAGTCAGCCTTACAAGGAAATTGGTGTTTCTTGGAGAATTGAAGAGTGATGGCTGCTATCGCTCCCCCCACACATATTCGAACCACGAAACGCTTGGTCGAAAAAATTGAAAAAAATGACTGAAAAACCGAAAAAAAGGTCTGAAATTGAAGCAGATCCAGTCGTGTAGAAACACCGAAAGAGTCGAGGATCTCCACTACCTTGAATCCACCCGGCGACGGCAGTGGGAGCCAGCCAGTAAAGGCAGGGACTAGCGCGGCACGGATAAAATTGTGGGGCCATTGGAATCTTCTGCGATCGGAGGTGCTTTAAAATGCTCAAGGAAAAGGGCTTCCAGACAGGGTGAAAATCGTGTCGAGGACGTGGTCACCTCAGTACGACCCCCCCCCCCTCAGATCGGGGTCTTGATACGACCCCTCTAACTTTGATTTGATGTGAATAAGCGAGTTCCATCAATGTACAGCAAAGCATTCAGTTGCAGCGCGGTTTATCCGTGGGTCAGATTTGCCGAAACCCCGCTCGAAACCGTCGAAATCTACACTCTCGATGAAAAGGTTCCATTCCCCATTTCATAACCTTTGGAGCAGTATGTGGTAGGGTTAGATAGAGCTGGATTTGCTACTACCGGGCAATATTGAAATTGATCTAAAATCTTTACACTCGAAGAGATAGGGTCTCTCAAATTTTGTCGAGGCAGCGTCGAGGATGCGAATTTTTCATGCGAGTTTTTGCCACTTAAAAGGCAATATCTCTCTAATTTCGTAGATCTTGAAAAAAGAAGACAGTTTTGGAAAGCGGAAGGTTTGCGCTTTCTAACAGTATGTTTAGCTTCCTTCTACATTCTCTAGTTGAGGAGATATTTGCGTCGAGGATCTATCGAGGATGATTCTCGGCCGCTCAAAAAGCCGCTCCCTTCTTCACCATTGCAAGTGTAATTCGTTGGCAACGCTCGAAATGTGTCTAGAATACATTCTTCCAACATAAGCAATAAGAAAAGGGCAATCGTCACCATCCGATTTTGTCTGGGTATAGGCCATGCACTCGAAGTTGCAGAATCGATTGGAAGGTGTTATATGATCATGACCAGTTGACAGAAGCTGCATTGTAGTAAACACATTTCGTAACTCCTACAACCTGAGGAACAGCTTCATTTGCCCAGGGTCTTTTCAGAAGTCGTTTTTGCGACAGCGTCCCTAACAACAGTGTCATTCTCAACGAGGTATTAAGGGCGAGGGAGCGGGCGGTAGATAGAGGAAATGCCTTCGCAGCGCGTGTGCACATGTGACCCTGTTCCTTGCAAAGATGCACTTTCATTCTTTGTATACTTTCAAATACTTCCTTCTCGGAGGTAGAGAGACGGAGCGACTGACTGACCTGCAAAGGATTTTTTCTCATATCCTTGTTTTCTGCTGCGCTACACCTCCCTCCTATCTGCACCACGATGCCACTGACGTTACTGACCCCACGAGTACGACCCCCAAGACCCACCTTGACAATTGCGACCCCCCTGTCGAAAATTTCCTCGACCGACATTCTCCCTGCTGCCAGACAGAAATGATGAGGCCTTCGATTTTCTACGGCAGCGAATGCTAGCCCTTGAGCAGGATTCACGAAAGGACAGCTTCACTCCGCTGAGATGAGGATGCTGAGGATGGGCCTGCGGCTGGACGCGGCTGGACAGGGTCAGAAACGAGGATGTCAGAGCGGTCATGCAGACTGCCCCTGTCCAGCTGAAGGTGCGGAGAACAGCGCTGCGATGGTATGGGCACGTGCTGAGGAGGCCACAGGACCACCCAATAAGAAAGCGATGGACTTCGAAGTGCAAGGCAAGCGACCGCGAGGAGCCCCAAAGAAGAGGTGGAAGGATGTGATCAAGAAGGGTCTAAGTGAAGTCACGATCACAACAGGAGATGAATTGTACAGAAAAGTGGCAACCACAGACAACACAGCAGACCCCACGGATGCAGAGAACTAATGCTAGGTAGAAGAAGATCTTCGCCGCACTAACGCCTTTTATCTTTACCTTAATTTTCTCTTCCGAATAAAATACAACATTTGCAGTAATAAAGTGTTTCTGGCTGCTGTCTTAGAAGTTTCTTTCAAAGCATTTTCGTTGGATTCATTCCCCCATAGCTCTGGTAGACAACAATCTTCACACATGTTTACGACAATGAGCACAAAAATTAGTGAAAATTTGGTGCCTGTATTGCTGGACCAAAAGAGAGTCCTAATACATAGCCAGCAGTTCCAAAAGAGACAGAACTGAGCCTATCACGAGGTGTAGAGGCTGTGGCCGCGTATGCTCTCAATACCGATAGGGTACCTGAATATGAGAGCCAGAAATTACCCTACCCGAAATAAATAATTGGAAGCTGTACAAAACTACCTGCACCGAATCCTGTCAACAGCCTCGCAAAAAGCATCACCCACTTCTGGTTAGAATCGAGCAGTGGGAGTAGACCGAATATAGCTTGTCCTAAATCACTGTAGAGGATTCCACATCCGATATTCGAAAGGTAAATAGGTGGCAAAACGGTGGCTAACATTTTGAAGCAGGGCCATGTAGAACTATATTGTCATGTAAAGCGGCGAGGGTGAGCTGGAATAGCGTCGCAATTTTGGGTTCACTATACTACTCGCTTCCAACGTAAAGTGTAGTAGCGTTTGATATCAAGCAGTTTTTCTTCCTAGGATCGCATGAATCAGAAACTAGAGAGTTACGGCTTTTGACTAAAGCTCTTATTTCAAAGGTTCCAGAACAGCGAGGTCAACCGTCTGCACAACCGGGTCAGACGAGGGGACAGTGAAAAAAATGAATTACAGAAGTCGAAAATGAAGTGAGTTATGGCCGCTGAAAGCCCAAAAACTCGCGATTTCAAAAAAAGTGTTCGGCAAAACCCCCAAAATGTTCGAACGTGTGATTTTCTCGAAAAATGAACTTTGAAAAACGGTTTGGTGCTTGTTAGAAAGAGCAAATCCTGTACTTTCACCCCATGAAAAAAGTGCATCACAGAAATGAAAATGAAGTGAGTTATGGTCGCTGAAAGCCCAAAAACTCGCTTTTGCACGAAAAATGTTCGAACGGGACAATTTTTTGAAAAAGGGGACAATCACTAAACTTTTTATACTGTTTTGTTAGAGAAATATTTGAAGTTTCTGAAACTTTTTACAGATTTCCAAAATGTCGCATACGAAAGATTTTATGGGCCTTCAAAGTTGAAGGTGCGCCTTCTTAGAATTTTGGGTTTTCCACTTCTAACAGAAGTACTTTCCGGAGAGTTAGGCAATCCTTGTAGTTTTCTGAAAGCGCACCTCAGGCACAGTCAAAATCTACCTCAACAAGTCAAAAAAGTACGTCCCAAGAAAGTTATTCCCCTCTAAAATTTTTTCTTCGCCGCGTCCCGTTCTTCCAGCGCCCGGGTGATACCTGCCGCGCTCCAAGGCTGACGCCGCAACGCAGACGCTTTCTGGCGCAACGGATTCATTTCTCTTTCTCCTGAATGAACGAGTTTTTTTTACATTCTAGTCTGCTTATCACTGTCTTTGCGTGGACAGCAGCTTGATTCGTGCGCTGCGGTCCACGCAAAGGCAATGGATGTTTACTTGATGGATGTGCATCCGAATCATGTCCCTTGCTGCTCCATATGTCTTTGAAATTGAGACGTTCATTGTGCATACGATATCTACTCAATATTTAGGGCTTGAATTTCAATAAACTTGATGACATTCAACCAACCAGCGAGCATCATTATCATTCCCACAACGACTGGAGCTCTGATTGACAAAGTTTTTTGGTTCCAGAGTCCAAAGAGTGGGTTGGCCTGAACGAAATGGTATTTTCCATCCGAAATTTGAGAAATAAACTCGAATGATTCCTAAATTTCTATTTAGGTTGCTTAAAGCCACGAGTCAGGATTAGGCAACCAGCAGAAGTTCTTCCCAGGGTGCGATAGTGGGCTCCCCAAGCACTGAGGGCGCGACACTATCGCGACCCAAAAGTGCGCGGCAATGGCGCTAAGGCCTTGCCCGCCGCGCTGCCCGCGCTGCCAGCGTAATCCACCACGGCATACGTGGTCTCTGCGTCCTCTCGCGTACGACGTACTATCTCGCGTTCTCCCTCTCCTCGCAGCGCTGTGTCTCTCCGTCGTACTACGGCCGGCCTCCTAAGGGAAATTTAGTGTTTTCTATGGTGCTTTTTGCTTTTTCTCCTCACTAATGTTCCTCATTGCACCCCTTGCCTAATGTTGAACAAAATAACGCATCAATTCAATCCTGACTCCTGCCTTTAATGGACGATTCCACGAGGTCGAAGAAGGGGAAGTTAACTCATGGTTTGGTTTGGTACAAGCGGACTCCTAAAGGGTGCGGAGCGACAAGCAACTGGCAGCCAAGGTATGCTCCCGGCAATCTATTATACTCAGAGTGGTCCTCACGCGGAACTAAGGACGCGGCACGCCTCAGTCTCGCTTTCTGTCCCTCGAGGCGATCAGGAGAGAGCGCGTTAGTGTTGAGGAGGGCAGTACCGATGAAGTCGCCTCAATGCATAAATCAGTAGGAAAGGAAGGGGCTTCAGGTGCTGGGCCGTTTCTCATCTTATCTCACGTTTTTCATTCCTTCACCACTGACCCTTATTTCTAATAAGCTGATCGCTCATAGCAAATCCTCCTCCATAGAAGCATTGTAGAGGTTGAACCCTCCCTGGGGCAAAAGCTCGTAAACCAGTCAATCAATTGATGTGCAAGCGTTGTGGTTGAAGCACTTACCACGGCACATCCGAAACTGCACGCCGCGATTACCCATCCAAGAAAATCTACCGTTGCTGTTTTATCTACCTAAAAAGACGGCCTGATACTATCACCGACTGAGCATCAAGAAATACAACTCTCATCAAATAATCGAAGATGAAGTTCATGTGCTCGGAGAGTATAGGGACACTCTATTTTTCTTCAATATCTCTATTATGGGTGGATTATTTCTCTCCAAATTTTGCTCAACAATGCACTATTACATCAAGGTACAAATATATGAGTATAATTGGAAAGAAAGAATTGAGGATTTTTTTTCTGAAATCGCGACGTCCCAAAGATATAGACAGGTTGGCAGTTTCTGACATTGGTTTGTTGTGATTTCATTTTGCCACTGCCCTACCTACCACGCTTGTTCTACAGTGCCATGCCACCAGGAACGCACCTGTCCTACTTCGAAAAAGGTCACATTCGGGCTTACGAGGATACGAGACTTAGCCAACGTAGCATTCCAATGAAATTAGGACAACTTGTTGAGCAAATTCTGCAACAACATCAACTCCCACGGTACAAAAAAGGAGCTGGAGACCTAGAAAGTTTGGAAAAGGCAGAAGCGCCGAATTCTCAATGCTGCATCCAATTCCACAAAGGGTGTGCGCGGCTGAGCAAGGAAGTAGCACCCATACTGTCGAAAAGTACTGCCCATCGTGTGCTCAATCATGTTCCTTCACCGCTAAAAGGCAGTTTGAGTACGCTATGTCTGACGAGCTCGCATAAGGGAGCACGAGTTTTTTTCGCAAACAAAAACGTAAGCTGGACTCATCAATGATGGGAGATAATTTGCCCTGGCGGTTTCAGCATGTAATATCATGTACTGCAGTACTCCAAGTGATTTTTTGGATGAAAAGAAGTTTAATTTGAATGGACCCGATGGCCTGGCAAGCTATTGGCGCGATTTGAGGAAGGAGCCACGCTACTTTTCCAGACGCGGATTCGGTGGCGGTAGTGTCATGGTTCGAGCTGCCTTCAAAGCACACCCTAAGAGTGAACTTATTCTTACGACGCAACACTTGAATTCCAGTGGTTGCAGGATCAGAAATTAGAACAATTTGATACCACATATGCAGCGATTTCTATTCGTTGAGCCCCAATAACGAGACAACACCGCCATTCATATTAGCACCTCAACAGTGGAGTGATTTTGAGAAAGAAACACCAGTCTTCTCGGCTTGCTGGCTAAACCTCCTAACTTGAACAGACAGAGAACTTCTTGTATGGGAGTTACACGCGCGAGACGTTTATGCCAACTGAAGACAGCTCGGGAACAAAGAAGAGCTGAGAAACGTCGTCAGGGAGGCTTGGAGGCAGATTTTGCCGGAAACGATCTCAAGGCTTCTCCTAAAGCATGCCGAAGCGGATGATTGAAAATATCGAAGGCAGAGGGAAGGTTGCTAGTTTCTATTGTTATTGTTGTTGTTGATTACATTAGGTAATATATCG